ACAACAACACAGCACCTACAACTACTGCTGCTCCGACAACGTTGCAAACTACAACTACTGCTGCACCCACAACTGGAGCCCCTACTACTGTTTGCAACAACAAAAGCAGAACCTATAACTACTGCTGCACCTACAACTGCAGCCCCTACACTGTGCAAACAACAACAGCAGCACCTACAACTACTGCTGCTCCTACGACAGCAGCACCTACTACTGTTGCAACAACAACAGCAGCACCTACAACTGCAGCACCTACGTCTGTTGCCCTGACAACTGGCAGCACCTACAACGGCTCGATCTGCAACTGCAGCGCCTACTACTATAGCCCTTAGAACGGTGACTTTCCGTTCTGTCGGAAGACACATTTACTATTGAATTGGAGGATCCATCTCTCTGATGATTTTAAAGGTCGGGCTACATTGGTGAAGGAACAGGTAACTTTTCCAATATAAATCAAATCTGCTAGAACGCTTATTGAATTATGTTATCAGAGAGCTAAAGCACCCACTCAAAATATGAGAAACCTACTCCAGTTTCCATACTATGATAAGGAATTATTAAATTGATGAAAGACCAATAAAGATCAAGTTATATAGTAAAGCTGTGAATTCCAAGGCAAAGGGTTTATGTGAAAAATGTTTTGTTTTGTGTTTCTACAGCTTACACCTGTTTACCAAAAGCATTCCCTTCGTCCTCAAATCACTAGATGTTGTTTCATTCAGGTAATCTTTTAAGACTAATTAAGGTTTTATAATAAAGAGTAGGATCATATATCTGATATTTCAAACAATATAATATTTTCTCTTTCTTTAGTAACGGATCAATCATCAGCGTCATTGAGGTTTCATTTGAAAGCACATCTGCTCCTAATAACAATGAGATTGAGAACACTTTGATCAACGCAACAGTCGCTGGATTCGACATTGACAGCAGCTCCATTAGCGTAAATGGCATATGTAAGTAAATACTGAGTGCTACTTAATACAAATAAAGATAAATATACTTTTTTTAAATTAATGTTTGTTTTAACTTTTTCCTCATTTACGGCTTCCACTGCTGCTCCAACGACAGTAGCACCTACAACTACTGCTGCTCCGACAACGGTGCAACCTACAACTACTGCTTCAACTACAACTGCAGCCCTTCTTCTACTGTTGTAACAACAACAGCAGCACCTACAACTACTGCTGCTCCGACCACAGTGCAACCTACAACTACATCTACACCTACAACAGCCAGGCCCTACTACTGTTGCAACTACAACAGTAGCACCTACAACTGTTGCAACAACAACGGCAGCACCTACAACTACTGCTGCACCTACAACAGCAGGCCCTACTACTGTTGCCACTACAACAGCAGCACCTACAACTGTTGCAACAACAACACTATCACCTACAACTACTGCTGCTCCATCACCAGTGCAACCTACAACTACTAATTCACCTACAACTGCAGCCCCTACTAGCGGGTTGCAACAACAAACAGTAGCACTACAACTACTGCTGCTCCGACAACGGTGCAACCTACAACTACTGCTTCACCTACAACTGCAGCCCCTTCTACTGTTGTAACAACAACAGCAGCACCTACAACACTACTTGCTGCTCCAACCACGGTGCAACCTACAACTACTGCTGCACCTACAACAGCAGCACCTACTACTGTTGCAACAACAACAGCTGCACCTACAACTGCTGCTTGCTCCGACAACGGTGCAACCTACAACTACTGCTGCACCTACAAACAGCAGCACCTACTACTGTTGCAACAACAACAGCAGCACCTACAACTGCTGCTGCTCCGACAACGGTGCAACCTACAACTACTGCTGCACCTACGACAGCAGCACCTACTACTGTTGCAACAACAACAGCTGCACCTACAACTACTGCTGCTCCGACAACGGTGCAACCTACAACTACAGCTACACCTACAACAGCAGCACCTACAACTACTACTGTTGCAACAACAACAGCAGCACCTACAACTTTGCAACAACAACATTATCACCTACAACTACTGCTGCTCCATCAACAGTGCAACCTACAACTACTAATTCACCTACAACTGCAGACCCCTACTACTGTTGCAACAACAACAGTAGCACCTACAACTACTGCTGCTCCGACAACGGTGCAACCTACAACTACTGCTTCACCTACAACTGCAGCCCCTTCTACTGTTGTAACAACAACAGCAGCACCTACAACTACTGCTGCTCCGACCACGGTGCAAACCTACAACTACTGCTGCACCTACGACAGCAGCACCTACTACTGTTGCAACAACAACAGCAGCACCTACACACTACTGCTGCTCCGACAACGGTGCAACCTTACAACTACTGCTCACCTACAACTGCAGCCCCTTCTACTGTTGTAACAACAACAGCAGCACCTACAACTACTGCTGCTCCAACCACGGTGCAACCTACAACTACTGCTGCACCTACGACAGCAAGCAACCTACTACTGTTGCAACAACACAGCAGCACCTACACTACTACTACTGCTGCTCCGACAACGGTGCAACCTACAACTACTGCTGCACCTACAACAGCAGCACCTACTACTGTTGCAACAACAACAAGCTGCACCTACAACTGCTGCTGCTCCGACAACGGTGCAACCTACAACTACAGCTACACCTACAACAGCAGGCCCTACTACTGTTGCAACTACAACAGCAGCACCTACAACTGTTGCAAAAACAACAGCAGCACCTACAACTACTGCTGCACCTACAACTGCAGCCCCTACTACTGTTGCAACAACAAACATTATCACCTACAACTACTGCTGCTCCATCAACAGTGCAACACTACAACTACTAATTCACCTACAACTGCAGCCCCTACTACTGTTGCAACAACAACAGTATCACCTACAACTATTGCTGCTCCATCAACAAGTGCAACCTACAACTACTAATTCACCTACAACTGCAGCCCCTACTACTGTTGCAAACACAACAACAGTAGCACCTACAACTACTGCTGCTCCGACAACGGTGCAACCTACAACTACTGCTGCACCATCAACAGTGCAACCTACAACTACTGCTTCACCTACAACTGCAGCCCCTTCTACTGTTGTAACAACAAACAGCAACCACCTACAACTACTGCTGCTCCAACAACGGTGCAACCTACAACTACTGCTGCACCCACGACAGCAGCACCTACTACTGTTGCAACAACAACAGCAGCACCTACAACTACTGCTGCTCCGACAACGGTGCAACCTACAACTACTGCTTCACCTACAACTGCAGCCCCTACTACTGTTGTAACAAACAACAGCAGCACCTACAACTACTACTGCTGCTCCGACCACGGTGCAACCTACAACTACTGCTGCACCTACGACAGCAGCACCTACTACTGTTGCAAACAACAACAGCAGCACCTACAACTACTGCTGCTGCTCGAACACGGTGCAACCTACAACTACTGCTGCACCTACAAACAGCAGCACCTACTACTGTTGCAACAACAACAGCTGCACCTACAACTACTGCTGCTCCATCAACGGTGCAACCTACAACTACAGCTGCACCTACGACAGCAGCACCTACTACTGTTGCAACAACAACAGCTGCACCTACAACTACTGCTACTCCATCAACGGTGCAACCTACAACTACAGCTGCACCTACGACAGCAGCACCTACTACTGTTGCAACAACAACAGCAGCACCTACAACTACTGCTGCTCCGACAACGGTGGAACCTACAACTACTGCTTCACCTACAACTTCAGCCCCTACTACTGTTGCAACAACAACAGTATCACCTACAACTACTGCTGCTCCATCAACAGTGCAACCTACAACTACTAATTCACCTACAACTGCAGCCCCACTACTGTTGCAACAACAACAGCAGCACCTACAACTACTGCTGCTCCGACAACGTTGCAACCTACAACTACAGCTACACCTACAACAGCAGGCCCTACTAATGTTGCAACTACAACAGCAGCACATACAACTGTTGCAACAACAACAGCAGCACCTACAACTACTGCTGCACCTACGACTGCAGCCCCTACTACTGTTGCAAACCAACACAGCAGGCACCTACAACTACTGCTGCTCAGACAACGGTGCAACCATACAACTACTGCCTGCACCTACAACAGCAGCACCTACTACTGTTGCAACAACAACAGCTGCACTACAACTACTGCTAATCCATCAACGGTGGCAACCTCAACTACTGCTGCACCTACAACTGCAGCACCTACTACAGTTGCAACAACAGCAACCTACAACTGCTGCTGCTCCGACAAACGGTGCCACCCTACAACTACTACTGCACCTACGACAACTGCCACCTACGACAGTAGCACCTACTACTATTGCAAACAACAACAGCAGCACCTACAACTACTGCTGCTCCAACAACGGTGCAACCTACAACTACTGCTGCACCCACAACTGGGAGCCCCTACTACTGTTGCAACACAACAGCAGCACCTACAACTACTGCTGCATCCGACAACGGTGCAACCTACAACTACAGCTACACCTACAACAGCAGGCCCCCTACTACTGTTGCAACTCACAACAGCAGCACATACAACTGTTTGCCACAACAACAGCAGCACATTACAACTACCTGCTTGCACCTACGACTGCAGCCCCTACTACTGTTGGAACCACAACAGCAGCACCTACAACTACTGCTGCTCAGACAACGGTGCAACCTACAACTACTGTTGCACCTACAACTGCAGCACCTACTACTATTGCAACAACAACAGCAGCACCTACAACTACTGCTGTTCCGACAACGGTGCAACCTACAACTACTGCTGCACCCACAACTGGAGCCCCTACTACTGTTTGCAACCAACAAAAGCAGAACCTACAACTACTGCTGCACCTACAACTGCAGCCCCTACTACTGTTGCCAACAACAACAGCAGCACCTACACTACTACTGCTGCTCCTACGACAGCAGCACCTACTACTGTTGCAAACAACAACAGCAGCAACCTACAACTGCGCACCTACGTCTGTTGCCCTGACAACTGCAGCACCTACAACGGCTCGATCTGCAACTACAGCGCCTACTACTATAGCCCTTAGAAGGGTGACTTTCCGTTCTGTCCTAGACACATTTACTATTGAATTGGAGGATCCATCTTCTGATGATTTTAAAGGTCGGGCTACATTGGTGAAGGAACAGGTAACTTTTCCAATATAATCAAATCTGCTAGAACGCTTATTGCATTATGTTATCAGAGAGCTAAAGCACCCACTCAAAATATGAGAAACCTACTCCAGTTTCCATACTATGATAAGGAATTATTAAATTGATGAAAGACCAATAACGATCAAGTCATATAGTAAAGCTGTGAATTCCAAGGCAAAGGTTTATGTGAAAAAAAATGTTTTGTGTTTTCTACAGCTTACACCTGTTTACGAAAAAGCATTCCCTTCGTCCTTCAAATCACTAGATGTTGTTTCATTCAGGTAATCTTTTAAGACTATTAAGGTTTTATAATAAAGAGTAGGATCCTATATCTGATATTTCAAACAATATAATATTTTCTCTGTCTTTAGTAACGGATCAATCATCAGCGTCATTGAGGTTTCATTTGTAAGCACTCTGCTCCTAATAACACTGAGATTGAGAACACTTTGATCAACGCAACAGTCGCTGGATTCGACATTGAAAGCAGCTCCATTAGCGTAAATGGCATATGTAAGTAAATACTGAGTGCTACTTAATAAAAATAAAAATAAATTATACTTTTTTAAAATTAATGTTTGTTTTACTTTTTCCTCATTTACAGCTTCCACTGCTGCTCCAACGAACAGTAGCACCTACAACTACTGCTGCTCCGACAACGGTGCAAACCTACAACTACTGCTTCACCTACAACTGCAGCCCCTTCTACTGTTTGTAACAACAACAGCAGCACCTACAACTACTGCTGCTCCGACCACAGGGCAACCTACAACTACAGCTACACCTACAACAGCAGGCCCCTACTACTGTTGCAACTACAACAGCAGCACCAACAACAACAGCAGCACCTACAACTACTGCTGCACCTACAACTGCAGCCCCTACTACTGTTGCAACAACAGCAGCACCTACAACTACTGCTTCACCTACAACTGCAGCCCCTACTACTGTTGCAACAACAGCAGCACCTACAACTACTGCTTCACCTACAACTGCAGCCCCTACTACTGTTGCAACAACAACAGCAGCACCTACAACTACTGCTCCATCAACGGTGTGCAACCTACGACTACTGCTGCACCTACGACAGCAGCACCTACTACTGTTGCAACAACAACAGCAGCACCTACAACTACTGCTGACCTACAACTGCAGCCCTACTACTGTGCAACAACAACAGTATCACTACAACTACTGCTGCTCCATCAACAGTGCAACCTACAATACTAATTCACCTACAACTGCAGCCCCTACTACTGTTGCAACAACAACAGTAGCACCTACAAATACTAATTCACCTACCAATGCAGCACCTACTACTGTTGTAACAACAACAGCAGCACCTACAACTACTGCTGTTCCGACCACGGTGCAACCTACGACTACTGCTGCACCTACGACAGCAGCACCTACTACTGTTGAAACAACAACAGCAGCACCTACAACTACTGCTGCTCCGACAACGGGCAACCTAACAACTACTGCTGCACTACAACAGCAGCACCTACTTACTGTTGCAACAACAACAGCTGCACCTACAAACACTGCTGCTCCATCAACGGTGCAACCTACAATACTGCTTCACCTACAACTGCAGGCCTACTACTGAAGCAACAACAACAGCAGCACCTACAACTACTGCTGCTCCGACAACGGTGCAACCTACAACTACAGCTACACCTAAACTGCAGCCCCACTACTGTTGCAACAACAACAGCAGCACCTACAACTACTGCTGCTCAGAAACGGTGCAACCTACAACTACTGCTGCACCTACAACAATAGCACTACTACTGTTGCAACAACAACAGCTGCACCTACAACTACTGCTGCTCCATCAACGGTGCAACCTACAAATACTGCTTCACCTACAACTGCAGCCACTACTACTGTTGCAACAACAACAGCAGCACTACAACTACTGCTGCACCTACAACTGCAGCCCTACTACTGTTGCAACAACAACAGCAGCTACAACTACTGCTGCTCCATCAACGGTGCAAACTACGACTACTGCTGCACCTACGACAGCAGCACCTACTTACTGTTGCACAACAACAGCAGCACCTACAACTACTGCTGCACCTACAACTGCAGCCCCTACTACTGTTGCAACAACAACAGATATCACCTACACTACTGCTGCTCCATCAACAGTGCAACCTACAACTATAATTCACCTACAACTGCGCCCCTACTACTGTTGCAACAACAACAGTAGCACCTACAACTACTAATTCACCTACAACTGCAGCACATACTACTGTTGTAACAACAACAGCAGCACCTACAACTACTGCTGCTCCGACAACGGTGCAACCTACGACTACTGCTGCACCTACGACAGCAGCACCTATATACTGTTGCAACAACAACAGCAGCACCTACAACTACTGCTGCTCGACAACGGGCAACCTACAACTACTGCTGCACCTACCAGCAGCAGCCTACTAGGTTGCAACAAAACAGTGCACCTACAACTACTGCTGCTCCATCAACGGTGCAACTACAACTACTGCTTCACCTACAACTGCAGGCCCTACTACTGAAGCAACAACAACAGCAGCCACTACAACTACTGCTGCTCCGACAACGGTGCAAACCCAACTACAGCTACACCTACAACTGCAGCCCCTACTACTGTTGCAACAACAACAGCAGCACCTACAACTACTGACTGCTCAGACAACGGTGCAACCTACAACTACTGCTGCCACTACAACAATAGCACCTACTACTGTTGCAACAACAACAGCTGCACCTACAAACTACTGTGCTCCATCAACGGTGAACCTACAACTACTGCTTCACCTACAACTGCAGCCACTACTACTGTTGCACAACAACACAGCAGCACCTACAACTACTGCTGCACCACAACTGCAGCCCCTACTACTGTTGCAACAACAACAGCAGCACCTACACTACTGCTGCTCCATCAACGGTGCAACCTACGACTACTGCTGCACCTACGACAGCAGCACCTATACTGTTGCAACAACAACAGCAGCACTACAACTACTGCTGCACCTACAACTGAGCCCCTACTACTGTTGCAACAACAACAGTATCACCTACAACTACTGCTGCTCCATCAACAGTGCAACCTACAACTACTAATTCACCTACAACTGCAGCCCCTACTACTGTTGCAACAACAACAGTAGCACCTACAACTACTGCTTCACCTACAACTGCAGGCCCTACTACTGTTGCAACAACAACAGCAGCACCTACAACAATACTAATTCACTACAACTGCAGCACACTACTGTTGCAACAACAACAGTAGCACTACAACTACTGCTTCCCACAACTGCAGCCCCTTCTACTGTTGTAACAACAACAGCAGCACCTACAATATAATTCACCTACAACTGCAGCACCTATACTGTTGTACAACACAACAGCAGCACCTACAACTATGCTGCTCATCAAACAGTGCAAACCTACAACTACTAATTCACCTAAACTGCAGCCCCTACTACTTTGCAACAAAACAGTATCACCTACAACTACTGCTGCTCATCAACAGTGCAACCTACAACTACTAATTCACCTACAACTGCAGCCCCTACTACTGTTGCAACAACAACAGTAGCACCTACAACTACTGTCACCTACAACTGAGCCCCTTTACTGTTGTAACAACAACAGCAGCACTACAAATACTAATTCAACTACAACTGCAGCAACTACTACTACTGCTGCTCCATCAACGGTGCAACCTACGACTACTGCTGCACCTACGACAGCAGCACCTACTACTGTTGCAACAACAACAGCAGCACCTACAACTACTGCTGCACCTACAACTGCACCCTACTACTGTTGCAACAACACAGTATCACCTACAACTACTGCTGCTCCATCAGAGTGCAACCTACAACTCTACTACAACTGCAGCCCTACTACTGTTGCAACAACAACAGTAGCACCTACAACTACTAATTCACCTACACCTGCAGCACCTATACTGTTGTAACAACACAGCAGCACCTACAAACTACTGCTGCTCCGACCACGGTGCAACCTACGACTACTGCTGCACCTACGACAGCAGCCACCTTACTGTTGCAACAACAACAGCAGCACTACAAA